TCCAGTTCCCTAAGGGTGAAACAGTTCTTAAAGTCTTCTCTGCTGTGGCTGGCTCGTTGGTGCTCTTCCACCCAGTGACTTTTGGGACAGAAAAGATCTAGTGATCTCCTCCCATAAAAAATTTCAGCTAGGAAACCCTTCTCTGTCCTGTGGGGTTGCTATGAGTTGGAATTGTCTCAGCAGCATCTAATAACAGTTGTTGTTGTGGTTGTTAGGTGCCATCGAGTCAGTACCAACTCATCGCAACCCTCTGTTGCCACGCTCGAGTCCATAGATGCTGCCACTTGGCCAATCCATCTCGTTGGGGGTCTTCTGCTTTTTCTCTGACCCTCCACCTTACCAAACATGATATCCTTCTTCTTCTTCCTTCTAATAATAATACAAGAATTTAAATTGAATGCTGTTTCCCTTTGCTTCCATTGCCACACTTCTTAATCTTGTTTAAAATGATCAATATATTTGGAAATGTTTATACACCATGAATGGAAAAACACTTCAAAAGTATTGTTTGAATTTAAAACACATACTTTTTTTTTTTTTTTTTAATCAGAGAAATCAATTTAACTTACTTAAATGGAGCAGAAAATTATAGCTTCTGTATTGGAATGTTCTAAAGACTCTTATGGTAATTGTTAGGAAGCCAACCTTTTAAATTTGTAGTTTCATTAAGTCCCATCATTTCTATTTAGCATTACTCTCTGTTCATCTATACACTTTTTTTCATCCTCTCACCTTTTTACCTGCAAATGGATAGCTTCTTTTATTTGGAATTTTTTTAAACAAGTCTTTTGGACTTGATAGTTTCTGGGGAATCATTACTTTTTACTTGTGACTAGATTTTGAAGCCAGTTTGTCCCACTGTGGTGGTTTGCATCCTGCTGTGATAGTGGCAGCTATGCCACTAGTGTTTAAATATCAGCACTCACCCAGGGTGGACAGCGTTCAGTGGCGCTTGTAGATTAAGACTACTTACGAATGGTTAGTCACTGAAAACCATATAAATAACAGCAAAGTACTGTCACATACAGTGCTGGAAGATGAAAACCTTATTAATAGCAGCAGAATATTGTCAGATATAGTCCCAGAAGATGATGATATGCAACTTTGCTACCATTTCTTTCAACAGATGTAGTCAGTTTGATTTCTGGGTATTCCATCTGGTGAGGTCCATGTGTATAGTCTTACTTTATATTGTTTTTAAAAGGTATTTGCAATGAAGAAGTTATTTGTCTTGCAAAATTCTGTCATGTAATCTCCAGCATCATTTCTATCACCAAGACGGTAGTTTCCAACAACTAACCTTTCTTTTTTGCTTCCAGCTTTTGCATTCCAATTGCCAGTAATTGTCAATACATTTTGATCCCGTGTTTGATCAAGTTCAGACTGAAGAAGTTGGTTTGTTGTTATTAGGTGCCATGGAGTCATTACTGACTCATAGCAACCTTATGTACAACAGAATGAAACACTTCCCAGTTCTGGGCCAGCCTCACAATTGTTGCCGCACTTGAGCCCATTGATGGTGCCACTTTGCCAGTCCATCTTGCTGGGGATCTTCCTCTTTTTCTCTGACTATCCACCTTACCAAACATGATATCTTTCTCCAGTGTTTGGTCCCTCCTAACAATATGTCCTAAGTATGAGAGACGAAGTCTGGCCATCCTGGCCTCCAAGGAGCACTGTGGCTGCACTTCTTCCAACACAGATCTGTTTGTTCTTTTGGCAGCCCATGGCACTTTCAATATTCTCCTCTAACACCATAACTCAAGAGCATCAATTCTTCTACAGTCTTCCTTATTCATTGTCCAGCTTTGGCATTCATATGAGGTTATTGAAAATACCATGGTGTGGGTCAGGTGTACTTTAGTCCTCAAGTTGACATCTTTGCTCTTCAGCACTTTAAAGAGGTCTTGTGCAGCAGATTTGCTTAATGCAATATCTGGTTTGATTTCCTGACTGCTGCTTCCATGAGTGTTGATAGTTGATCTAAGAAGAACGAAGACCTTGATAACGTTAATCTTCTCTCTGTTGATAAGAATGTTGTTTATTGGTCCAGTGGTGAGGATTTTTGTTTTCTTTACATTGAGATACAATCCATACCGAAGGCTGTGATCTTTGATCTTCATCAGTAAATGTTTTAAGTCCTCTTCACTTTCAACAAGCAAGATTATATCATCTGCATAAATGTGAATAATAGTGATATTAACTGATCTTCCTTGTAGGTGAATGAATACTATCCTATCACAGATAGTGTTGTACTTCAAGACAGATCTTGATTTGTTCTTTTTGATAATGAATGTGACACCATTGCTCTTCAATTTGTCATTCCCAGTATTGTAAACCATGTGATAGTCAGATTCAAACTGGCCAATACCAGTCCAGTTCAGCTCACTAATGCCTAGGATATCAATGTTTATGCATTCCATTTTATTTTTGACAATTTCCAGTTTTCCTAGATTCATACTTCATATATTCCATGTTCTAATTATTAATGGATTTTTACAGCTGTTTCTTTTCATTTTGAATTGTGCCCATCACCAAATGAAGGTCCTGAAGGATTTACTCCATTCGCAGTATCACGGTCAACTCTACTTTGAGGAGGTGGCTCTTTCCCAGTCATATTTTGAGTGCCTTCCAACCTGTGGGGCACTGTATCTGACAGTATTCTGGTTCTCTTCATCATGTTTCAATATCCAGTATTCTGGTGCTGTCTAACAGTGTTCCATTGCTGTTCATAAGGGTTTCCATAACTAAGTATTCAGAAATAGACTGCCTCTTCTTCCTAATCTGTGTTTGTCTGGAAGTTCAGCTAAAACCTATCCACTGTGGGCGACGCTGCTGGTATTTAAAATACCCATGGCACGGCTTCCAGAATCATAGCAACACGCAAGCTTCACTGTACAACAAACTTGACAGACGAGTGGTGGAGAAATGATGCTGAAGATTGGGTAATACAGTTGTGCAAGACCAATGACTTATTCATTGCAAATACCTTTTTTTTTCTTCTTCTTTTTTTAAGGTTTTTATTGTGGATTGAGCGAATGTTTACAGGGCATATCATCAGTTTTACATTCAACAAATCATATACCTTGTTTCATTACATTGATTATAATCCCCTCCATGTACCATCATTTAACAGTATTTCTCTCTATCCATGCAAATATCTTTTTAAACAAAATAAAAGGCAACTGTGTACATGAACTGCACCAAAGGGAATACATACGAATCAGCTTAACAGAGACCACGGGAAGACTAAATAGCATCAGCCAAAACAAGGCCAGGGACCAATTGTGGAACACACCATCTATTGCTCACATGCAAGTTCAGAATGAAGCTAAAGCAAATTAAAACAAATACATGAGAGCCAAAATATGATCTTGAACATATTCCACCTAGATTTAGAGACCTTCTCGAGAACAGATTTGATAGATTATACAATTATAATGAACGAAGGCCAGAAGAGCTATGGGATGACATCAAGAAAATCATATAGGAAGAAAGCAAAAGGTCATTAAAAAAGAAAAGGCCAAAATGGATGTCAGAAGAGACTGAAAGTTGCTCTTAAGCGTGGAAAAGCGAAAGCAAATGAAATAAATCAGGAAGTAAAATAGCTGAACAGAAAATTTCAAAGGGCAGCTCAAGAAGACTAAGTTAGAAAACCAAAAAGGGAGAACATGCTCAGCATATCTCTCAAACTGAAAGAACTGAAGAAAAAATTCAAGCCTCAACTTGTAATACTGACGAATTCTATGGGCAAAGTATTGAATGATGCAGATAACATCAAAAGAACATAGAAGGAATACGTGAAGTCACTCTATCCAAAAGAAATGGTTGGTGTTCAACCATTTCAAGAGGTAGCATGTGATCAAGAACCATTGGTACTAAAGGAAGAAGTTCAATGGCTGAAGGTATTGGCAAAAAAAAACCCACACAAAACAAAAACTCCAGGAATTGATGGAATACATATTGGAATCTTAAGAAATAGATGTAGCACTGGAGGTGTCCATTCATCTATGCCAAGAAATTTGGAATACAGCTACCTGTCGACCGATTGGAAGATATCCATATTTATGTCCATTCCAGAGAGATGACTCAATGAATAGGGAAGTCATCAAACAATATCATTAATATCACACACAAGTAAAACTTTTCTGAAGATAATTCAAAAACTGTTGCAGCAGTATGTCAGCAGGGAACTGTCAGAAATTCAAGCCAGATTCAGAAGAGGAAGTGGGTACTAAGATGATCATTGCTGCCATCAGGTGGATCTTGGCTGAAAGCAGAGAATACCAGAAGGATGTTTACCTGTGGTTATTTACTATGGAAAGGCTTTTGACTGTATGTATCATGACAAACTACATATAATGTTGCAAAGAATTAGTATTCCATAATACCTAATTGTGCTAATGAGGAACATGTACATATAGACCAAGAGGCAGTTGTTCGAAACAACAAAAAGTCTATTTAAAACTGTAGCAGTACCATGTAAACTATTACATAATTCACAATAAAGCATTTAAGAAAAAAAATAAAATAAAAATGTAAAAAAAAAAAAACTGTAGCAGTAGTTTGCAGTTCTAGCAAAGAGGAGAGTTGTGGGGTTAAACTTTGTATTTTCTTTCTTACAGAAACTTCTAAAAAGGTATTTTTATATGTTCTTTTTAACAAATATTGTGTACAACCTTTAAAACATCATCAATGTTTGGGTCAAAACTAGACCCAGTTTATTTTCTGCTTGCTGTGAGTTAAGCAAACATGCTATAATAAGAACAAAATGAAGGAGGGGAAAAAAAAGCAGTTTTTCTAACAGAACAAGGGAACCCTGACTGATTTTAAATCAGGAAAGATGTGCACTAGGGTTGTATCCTTTCACGTACTTATTAAGTCTGTATGCTGAGTATATAATCTGAGAAACTGGATTATATGAAGAAGAACATGGCATCAGGCTTGAAGGAAAACTCTTATAACTTGTGATGTACCGATTATATAACCCTGCTTCCTGGAAGTGAAGAAGATGTTGAAAGTCAAAGACTGCAACCTTCAGTATGGTTGTACCTCAATATAAAAAAAACCAGAAATCTTAACAACTGGACCAATAAATAATATCATTATAAATGGAGAAAGGATTGAAGTTGTCAAAAGACCTTATTTTGCTTGGATCCACAATTACTACGCAAGGAAGCAGCAGTCAAGAAATCAAGTGACATATTGCATTAGGCAAATCTGCTGCACAAGGCCTCTTAAAGTGTTGAAGAGGAAAGATGTCAGTTTGAGGACTAAGGTGTACCTGACCCAAGTCATGGTATTTTCAGTCACTTCATATGCATGTGAAAGTTGGACAGTGAATAAGAAAGACCGTGGAAGAATTGGTGCATATAAATTAAGGTGCTGACAAAGAACACTGAAAGTACCATGGACTGTCAGAGAATAAACAGATCTGTTGGAAGAAGTACAACCAGAATGCTCCTCGAAAGCCAGAATGATGAAACCTTGTCTCATGTACTTCAGAAATGTTATTAGGGGGGACCAGTCCCTTGAGAAGGACATCATACTTGGTAAAGTGGAGGGTTAGTAGGTGTGTGTGTGTGGGGGGGCGTAGATCCTCAAAGAGATAGATTGATACAGTAGTGATGGATTCAAATATAACAGTTGTGAGGATGATATAGGACCAGGCAGTGTTTCCTTCTGTTGTGCATAGGGTCATATGAGTCAGAGCCCATTGCAAAACCTTTAAAAACAGATTTTGAAGGAATCCTGGTGGTGCTGTGGGTTAAACATTGGTCTGCTGACCTCAAGGTTGACAGTTCAAACCCATGTTTCTCAGGAGAAAGATGAGTTATTTTTGTATCCATAAAATTCAGTAAATCTGAGTTGACTCCATGACAGTGGAATTGAGTGAGGCTGACTGTGATGGGTAAGGTTATGTGTTAGCTTGGCTCAGTGCTTGGCAGTGTATTAATGATGAGACCTGGCAGTTACACAGTGAGGTAGTCCTCCTCAATTTTGTGATCTGATGTGATCTTCCATTCATTTTCACATAATGCCAATTTTTGCCTAACTTTCTGGTCTTTAGAATGTAACTATGTTGGTAAGTGAGAACTGGGTATGTTAATTAAAAAATATATTTTCTAAAATGATTAGATGAATGCCATATCTTAAGTATTTGGATTAACCAAAAAATTCCTTCATTGTATCTTATTTTCTAGGGAATGGTTGTATCTCTTGTCCCATGAAATGTTGAATCCATACTATGGCCTTTTCCAGTATTCAAGGGATGATATCTATACATTGCAGATCAATCCCGATTCTGCAGTTAATCCGGTATGATTTGTAGTTACATTGATGTGAATTCACTTGTGACTTAAATGCTCTTATCTCTTAGTATCAATGTCTTTTATTACATAGAAATTGCTATCTTTACTCAGCATTTCTTCCAGAAAAATTTCCCAAGAAAATGATCATGGATGTCTGAAACAGTTTGGTTCCAGACAGGGATGTGTTTATTGTATCATTGTTGATAGTGTCCCCAACTGAAAACAACATAGTTGTCCACAAGAGGGAGCTTTGTTAAATTATTACATGAAGCTAAAGAACACACATGGTATTTGGTTAAGAGCATAATTCTGGAATTAGAAAGATGCAGTCATGACCTGGTCCCACTACTTAACTAGCTTTGTAACCTTGGGCAAATTCATTGAGTTAAGCCTCAATTTTAATATTGCTAAAGGAGCTTAATGGTTACGAATCGGGCTACAAACCGCAAGGTCAGCAGTTCAAAACTACCAGCTGCTTCACGTGAGCAAGTTGAGGCTTTCTGCTCCCATAAAGATATACAGCCTTGGAAACCTTTTACAGCCTTGGAAACCTTGTACAGCGTTGCTGTGAGTTGGAACCAACTCCACAGCACATAACCACCACCACAGTGGAGCTCTGGTAGCATAGTGGTTACGAATTGGGCTGCTAACCTCAAGGTCAGTAGTTCAAATCTATCAGTTGCTTCATGGGAGAGAAGAGACTTTTGCTCCTGTAAAGATTTACAACCTTGGAAACCCTATTGTTGTTAAGTCAAAACCGACTCCATGGCACTTAACAACAACAATAATAAATATATTTAGCACTTAGCAGAGCTCTTGGTACATTAATTATTAAGCACTCGAGAAAAGTTAACAGCTATTATTATTGGTAGGTTATTTCTATTATCTTTACATACAAGAACATACTGTACAGCCACTAAAATGATATTGTAGAATAGTAGTAGATGGTGTTCATGTTATATTAAGTGATGAAAAGGTTCTAAAATAGTAGAATGTAATTTTGATAAATCCTACTTGGTGTAGACGATTGAAGGGCTCTACACTATACTATTGAACGTGATATTAGATTAATATCTCAGGATACTAGATTATGGATGACTTTTCTTTTTTGTGTCTGTAGTTTTAAAATAATTTGTGAACGTGCATTACTCTTAGAAAAGAAAGAATAACTTTAAGATAAAAGGAAACAATGAAATATTAAAAGATTAAAAAGGATGCTTAAAGTTATACTTTAAGTTTATTTATTAAATAGAGGTATGAAAGAGTTTAAATATATAAATATCTAACTAACCAAACAGTCTATAAGAAAAAAGCAAACATATCTGAACATGATAGAAATGTGAGACTCATTGCAGGTAATTGTTTCTAGAGGGATGAGTTTTAGGCGAAGGTTCTGTTTGTGGATCCCATTACTTACCACTGCCAGTAATAACAGCTCATATTTGTTGAGTTCTTAATATGCTGGTGGGTTTCATCTCATTTTACTCCTTATAGAGACGTCCCCTCCTTTATCTAAGAATGTAGTATTGCTATTGTAGAGATTAAGTAATGTGCTCAATTATGCAGATAGCTATTTAGGGTAAAATTCAAATTCTACTCTAAGACTGACACTAAATCTGTGCTCTTAAGTATCTGATGTTTTACGGTTCCATTTTTGGTTAGGCCCAGGAAGCGGGAAGGGGGTTTAGAATAGAAAGCTGTTTTCCCATGATAAAGCCAAGGCTCTTCCAACAGGCTCAGCAGGAGGTGAGCTGAGAGGAGAGAACAGGAATCTATGAGTGATTTAAAATACAAAGTTGCCTACACCCTTGGAGAGAGGCCTTGGCCCATACCTAATGTTTTAGATAGATGTAGAATATCCTGAGCATGTTCTGTAGACACATTCCTTTAATGATCGTTCATATGCGTATGTATTCCATTTATAGAATTGTAAGTCAGTGTATAATTTTGATACTTGTTTGCTTGAATATTTAATTTTTACTGAAAGTTCCCTGGAGGGTTTGTAACTCAAGAATTCATAATGGACTCTTCAATTTCAGGAACATTTGTCCTATTTCCACTTCGTTGGCCGGATAATGGGAATGGCTGTGTTTCATGGACATTATATCGATGGTGGTTTTACATTGCCTTTTTATAAACAGTTGCTTGGGAAGTCAATTACTTTGGATGACATGGAATTAGTTGATCCAGATCTTCATAACAGTTTAGTGTGGATACTGTATGTATTGAATCCTGTTTCTGTTCATTATTGTTAGCATTTGAGCTTTTAAAAAACATACATGTTACAAAATGGATATACAGTTTTTAATACACAAAATTATGCATAGATAATATTAAGAGTGATTACAAGTTAGTATTATTACTTTTAAAAGGAAATAATCTAGTGTACTCTGTTTGAAAAACTACTACTTTAAAATGGTTTCCTCCACATGATGCAAGTTGTGTTCCAACCCTCACATGTTAGAAGGGCAAATTCTTGCTGCCATGGCCTTTAATGAACAAAGTAGTAGTTTTGAAACCAGACTTGTAAAAGGGCATCTGTTAAGAGCTGGTTCTGCTCTATAAGATTTTGTTAGCTGATGCAGATATACTGGCGATACTTAACTTTAACAAAAGACACAAGTTGCTTTCTCACTGGGGATGTCTAGATATTTGGTCACTCAGAGATACCCAGAATTAAGTAGGACAGTGCCTCAGTGGTCAGCATAACAGAAATTTCCCTATGTTGGTGGTTCAAACAAATCCCAGCTTTGGCTGGCCGCTTTCCAGTAAATTACTCAGAAAGTGAAGTCTTCCCAGTGTTTGTAAGGGAGGTTAAAGCTCTTTGACTTTTATGCCCAACAACCAGATGGTATAGCAGCATGAGAACATCCAACCTTATATTTGTCATATTTTGAAGCTATCTTAGTTTTGTCTGTCACTAATTAATACATTGATAGGATCTATATTTTAGATTTTCCAGTTAGTATCTTCTCGCTCTTTTTTTTTTTTCCTAGTGAGAATGATATTACAGGTGTCTTGGACCATACATTCTGTGTTGAACATAATGCATATGGTGAAATCATTCAGCATGAACTTAAACCAAATGGCAAAAGTATCCCTGTAACTGAAGAAAATAAGAAAGAATATGTCAGGTAAACACTTCTATATTCTCAAAATTAAGAAGTCAGTAGTGTCCCCAGATGGCCATAGACAAAAAACATTTAAATATTTAGATTACATATTGCTACAAAATAGGTTGCTAAAGAACTTAGTAGCTTAAACAACAATTGTTTTACTATTTTCCATAATACTGTGGGTCATTGTTCAGGCAGACAGCAGGAATGCCACGTCATTACTGAGTGATGTCTGCTGGGACTGAAATGTCAAGATGGCCTCTTCACTCACATCTGCTGGCTCACATAGGCTGGATCGACTGGACTGGGTCACTGTCTAGGGCTTTGGTTCTCACTGTGGGGTGGGTTTTTTGGTATCAAGGACCTCTTCCTTCCCTCATGGGCCCTCCCTCCCTAGAAAGATATACAGTCTTCTCATGGGATAACTGACTTCGCAGAGTGTGAAAACCACAAGTAACATATTTTCTTAAGACCTAAACTTGGAACTGGCAACCATCACTTGTGCTGCATTCTTTGGGTTAAAACCACATGTCAGCCTTGTCAGTGTGAGAGGGGATGTACAAGACATGAGGTATTGTTGTTAGGTGCACAATAGAACAAAACACTGCCCAGTCCTAAGCCAGCCTCACAATTGTTATTATGCCTGACCCATTGCTGCTGACACTGTGCCAGTCCATCTCACTTTACCAAACATGATACCCTTCTTCAGGGACTGGTTCCTCCTGACAACATGTCCGAAGTATGAGGGATGAAGTTTGGCCATCCTGGCCTCCAAGGAGCACTCTGGCTGCACTTCTTCCACCACAGATCTGTTTGTTCTTTTGGCAGCCCATGGTACTTTCAGTATTCTCCTCCAGCATCATAACTCAAAAGCATCAATTCTTCTACGGTCTTTCTTATTCACTGTCCAGCTTTTGCATGCATATGAGGATATTGAAAATACCATGGCTTGGGTCAGGCGCACCTTAGTCCTCAAGCTGACATCTTTTCTCCAATACTTTAAAGAAGTTTTTTGTAGAAGATTTGCATAATGTAATAAGTGGTTTGATTTCTTGACTGCTGCTTCCATGAGTGTTGATGGTTGACCCAAGAAAAATGAAGTCCTTGACAACTTTAGTCTTTTCTCCATTTATTTGGATGTTGTTTATTGGTCCAATAGTGAGGATTTTTGTTTTCTTTATATTGAGGTGCAACCCATACCAAAGGCTATGGTCTTTGATCTTCATCAGTAAGTATTTTAAGTCCTCTTCACTTTCAGCGAGCAAGATTGTATCATCTGCGTATTGCAGGTGGTTAATGAGTCTTCCTCCAATCCTGATGCCATGTTTTCTTCATATAACCCAGCTTCTTAGATTATTTGCTCAGCATACAGGTTGAGTAAGTATGGTGAAAGAATCCAACCCTGTCGCACACCTTTCTTAATTTTAAACCATTCAGTGTTCCCTTGTTCTGTTTGCCTCTTGGTCTATGTACAGGTTCCTCATGAGCATAATTAAGTGTTCTGGAATACTCATATTGTGCAATGTTGTTCAAGCTTGTTGGGGGCCACACAATTGAAACCCTTTGCATAGTCAATAAAGCACAAGTAAACATCTTTCTGGTATTCTCTGTTTTCAGCCAAGATTCATCTGATGTCAGCAATTATATCCCTCATTCCATGTTTTCTTCTGAACTTGACTTGAACCTCTGGAAGTTCTCTGTCAATGTGTGGTTGCAGCACTGTCTGTGTTACGTTTAGTAAAACATTACTCAGATGGGATATCAAAGATATTGTCTGATAATTTTCACATTCTGTTGGATCATCTCTCTTTGGAATGGGCACAAATAACAGATCTCCTCCAGTGAGTAGGCCAGGTAGTTGTCTTCCAAATCTCTTGGCATAGGTGAGTGCCTCCAATGCTGCATCACTTTGTTGAATGATTTCAATTTGTATTCCATCCATTACCAGTGCCTTGTTCTTTGCCAATGACTTCTTCCTTCAGTATCATTGGCTCTAGATCATACGCTGCCTTTTGAAATGGTTGAGCATCGACCATTTGTTTTTGGTACAGTGTCTGTATCCCTTCCATCTTCTTTTGATGCTTTTCTTCATCATTCAGTATTTTGCCCATAGAATCCTTTTCTTTAGTTCCCTCAGCTTGAGACATGCTGAGTATGTTCTTCCTTTTTGGTTATCTAGCTCCAGGTCTTTGCACAAGTTTAGACTCTCTTCTGACACCCATTTTGGTTTTTTCCATCTCTTGTCTTCTCAGTGACCTTTTGCTTTCTTCCTATATGATGTTCTTGATATCATCCCACAACTCCTCTGGGCTTCAGTCTTTAGCTTTTAATGCATCAAATCTGTTCTTCAGATGATCTCTAAATTCAAGTGGGATATATTCAGGGTCATATTTTGGCTCTTGTGGACTTGTTTTCATTTTCTTCGGCTTCAGCCTGAATTTGCATATGAGCAATTGATGGTCTGCTCCACAGACTGCCCCTTGTCTTATTTGGGCTGATGACATTGAGCTTTTCCACCATCACTTTGCACAGATGTAGTCAATTTGATTTCTGTATATTCCATCTGGTGAGGTCCATGTGTATTTGTTGTGGTTGTTATTAGGTGCATGTGTATAGTTACCTTTTAATGTTTCAAAGGGATATTTGCAATGAAGAAGTCAATTGGTCTTGCAGAATTCTATTGTGAGATGTCCAACATCATTTATGTCACCAAGACCGTATTTTCCAACTACTGATCCTTCCTATTTGTTTCCAACCTTTGCATTCCAATCGCTAGTAGTTGAAGCAATTTCAACTGAAGAAGTTGATAGAATTCTTCAGTTTCATCATCAGGCATGAGTACCAGGAGGCAAAGTCCTCATGACCAGCTACAGTATAGCTGCTTCTGCACTGTATAAATTTAGAAATAAATTTCATCAAGATTTTAACTTTATGAAAACAGTGTTTTTCTTCCTTTATGCATGGATTACAGAGAGGCTCACCTGAGAACTCTGCAGGGGTACTGCCTTTGCATACAGACTCATGTGAGCTCTAGGAAACGCCCGGTTTACTACGAGTCTCTCTGATTTGAAGAGATGCAGTATTTATACTGCTTTTGTTAGTGGAGGTGTGGTTCCCACTCTTAGCTCCATTGAACTGCTTCACAGCTCAGGACCTGTTTATGCGCATTAATATGAAATTCTTGTAGAGTTTAGACTAAGTTCCTAATTCTAGATGCATGTAAAGTACAATGTTGCTGAAATAGAAGTTGACAATAATTACTAAATCTGAATATATGTGATCATATGCAACCCTTGCCCTGTTTTTACAGGCTCTATGTGAACTGGAGATTTTTACGAGGCATCGAGGCTCAGTTTCTAGCTCTGCAGAAAGGCTTCAATGAAGTAATCCCACAGCATCTGCTAAAGACATTTGATGAAAAGGAGTTAGAGGTCAGTGTGCTAATGTTAGGGCAGCGTCTACTGAAACAGGACAGGGTTGCAGTTTTTCATTTTAGTTTTTCTATTATCCTTCTTGTTCTAAACACATTTCACCTGCTTCTGGTTTACGTAGTTAAACTTCATTCATTTGTCTCCACCATGTTGGTATTTAGGGTCATCCATTGTGGCACTGTGGGATAAGACCTGGACTACTAGCCTCAAGGTTGGTGGTTCAAATCCACCAGCAGCTCCTTGGAAACCTTATACAGGGTTGCTGTGAGTTGGAACTGACTCAACAGCACTTAACAACAACAACATACTGGAATTTACTTAGAGAAAATCCTAGACTTTCTTAACTTTTTACTTAGTTTTGCAAGAAAACATAGAATAGACATGATCATAGAAGAAATATTTTATTCTAAATGTTTTAATTACCTAAATATCCTTAGATTCTTCAGATAGTAACATTCATTTACTAACAGTGGCTGTGCTGAAAAGTTAGTCATTTTTTTCCACTTAAAGTTAGTCTTCAACATCAAGTCTAGCTTTATAATTAAAGTCATTAATAAATTTCCATTGAACTCATTTGAAAAAATAATGAAACTTTATTCTACCAAATGTTCTATGTTCACTTAGTGATAGCATAAATACTTGAAGACAACAAATAATATAAATCATGGTTTATCCATTAACTTCAGTCTCCTTTGTAATTAATTCTCTTAACCAATGTGTTAACAAACAAATCTAAACAACTGACTTGACTTAGTACCAACTCCCATTTCTTTTGTGACTGAATTATCCAGTAGTGAAATATAGCTAGACGGAAGTGGTCAGAGAGAGGAGGAACACCTTAACAGAAATGGCAATGAAGTTGAAATCTAATGCATTTTCACCTGTTGTTCAGTGAGTGAGGAATTTGACCCTGTGATTGTCACTCCTGTGGAAAAAAAAAAAAGAATCTAGAAGGTATCTTGTGTGTTATAAATAAGGTATCTTGTGTGTTATAAATAAGGTATCTTGTGTGTTATAAATAAGGTATCTTGTGTGTTATAAATATATCTATAATCCTGTGTAATGACTACTTCCCTGTTCATTGTGTCCTTGAGTCAGTAATCTCTTCAGACCCCTGGAGACGCTTTGTTAAAGATTTCATTTAGTAGGGTTAGGGTTTATTATGTAATTCCTACTGCTAATTAAACCAAGTTTTTAAAATTAAAAAAAATATATATAAATCGTATTTATTTGTGTTATACTGGATTAACAAAATTAATTCCAAAATCTAGGATTTGCAAGTTACTTAATGTTCTATACTACACATTTTGTAATTCACTAAGAATATAAACATCTTAGTAAGATTAGTCTTGACCCTGAATAGATAGGAATGTTGATAATATCCAAAAAGTGATCTGTAATCTGACCCTGCATCTGGATGCCAAGCAGAGCTCTTTCAGTGTACTCCCATACTTTTACTTTGACACAATTGTAAGGTCATCAGATTGTTGTTGTTAGGTGCCATCATACCAGTTTTGATTCACAGCAACCTTATGCACAGCAGAACGAAACACTACCCAATCTTGTGCCATCCTCATAATCATTGCTGCTCCTACTGTGCTCATAATCCATCTTGTTGAGGGTCGTCTCCGATCCTTCACGATGCCCTTCTCCAAGCACTGGTCCCTCCTGATAATATTATCAAGTAGATTTTCTGAACTCATTTAATCAACATAGCTCTTGAGTGCCTGTGCTTTCATAGGCTGTAGGGCTGTGGATGTTACCACCATACAGCAGAGGTGAGTAGAACTGCCCAGATCACAAAGCCACTGATAACACCAAACCCAGTATAAGGAAGACCCAGATAAGCGGCTTTTACTCTTTGACTCTCAGATTCTGTCCATTTATTAATTTTATTACATGTAGGTTTTTATTGTGAAATTTTGGTCATGTCTAGTACAGGGATGGCTCTCAAGTACTGGGAAGGGAACCTGCAGCGAATGGAGCTTTTTGAAATACACATCAGTAGTCTCAGTTACACTCTCTGAATCTCTGAGCACTGATCTGGTGTGCATGTTCTGAAAAGTTTTCCAGATGATTCTGATGGGCACCTTTAGTTAAGTTCAGTTTTGAGGAATTTGGGCCATGATTTTGGTTTCCACTAGTTCATTATTTGCACAATATTTTACCAGCTCATTATTTGTGGACTTGGGAAGATAGATGTTAATGACTGGAAGGTAAACACCCGATTAAAACACTGTACACCAGACAGCAATGTGGTGAAGTGGTTCTGGAAAGCTGTGGAGTTTTTTGATGAAGAGCGACGAGCACGGTTACTTCAGTTTGTGACGGGGTCGTCTAGAGTGCCTCTGCAGGGCTTCAAAGCTTTACAAGGTAAAAAGGCCGCCTGCCTGCCTGCCAGCCAGGGCGGCATCAAACAGTCCACTGGCGGGGGGTGGGGGGGGGCTGCCTTTATTTTCTTTATATAAATACCTTGCAAACCACTTTACACACCATGTGCTCTGAATTTGTCATCTGTGACTCTCAGCTTGATGCACCTTCTCCTTCCTTACCATTGCTCCTCCCCAGGGTTTGTCTGCTGGGTTTCTGCGGACTGTTCTGAGCACTGCGTGGTATAACAAGATGCCATGTGCTGAGCACTGCCTGGTATAATAAGATGCCATGTGCTGATGCGCTGGCTTTTGTTTTCTGCTCACCTGGCTTTCAATTCTGTTGCCTATTTCCAAAGGCAGTCCATCCACTCTGAGGTCCAGCTCAACCTAGCAAACAGTGCCTCTCCCTCCACTTTTTTCCTCTTAATAGAACAGGAGTTGTGGGAACCATCTGTTGGTCTGAAGAACTTTTCATTTTATTGCATGGCATCAGCCAATGTATTTCTAGCCCTATTTATTTGTAAGAGAATTCAGTATGTAATTTTGGGATGAGCTGGTCATGTGTGGCTCACCAGGGCGGCGCTTCGTTGATAGTGATTACTTCCTTTCACCTTAAGCTCTTTCTTAAAGCTGTGGATGCTGGTGGCGGTGGCTAATGCTCTGAAAGCGAAGGCTGCTCCACAACCAGTAGTGCTGAGTCCATGGGGAGAGCTGGCTTGAGTTGTGCCTGCCTTTCCTGTTTGGAGAACTCATCATTATCCGAATGCCTGAAGTGAGATTGTCGTTCACCTGCATGTATTTGTATGGAAGTCTACGTGCCGACGGCCTATCTTTTATCTCCGCCCAGCTTGAGTCATGAGATCTAACTCTGCGTTAAGTTGTCCCTGATGATTCCTGGAATAAAAATGTGTCTAAATGCTTTTTCTCCAATTGGCCCAATTGTTTTCTTCTCATACTTGGGCTCTTAACTTTTATAGAGCTTGGAAGTTGGCAAAGGATTTCAATCCTGAATTTTTTCTGAAATCTGAAATGCTAGGATGTTAAGAAATCCAGCCTCATCCAAGGTCATTTTCAGCTTTCAAAACCCAGGTTCTTTCTTGCTGCCTGTGGTAGCTTGTGTGGATTCGCCAGCATTCTCTTTTCCCGAGACCTTGGGGTTATGGATCAGCTTCCTTCTCAGTCTGGAGACTACCAGGTGTACCCACAGTGATTTGACTCACTTTGGCTCCTTGTGCAGGTGCAGCAGGCCCACGACTCTTCACAATACACCAGATCGATGCCTGCACCAACAACCTGCCAAAAGCTCACACGTGGTAAGTTACTTTTGAAGCCCTTTTCCCCATTTCATATAGGTGTTAGTTTCATGCAGATTTGACTTTTATCATTCCTACTTCTGAAAGTTCCTGTAAAAGGGATTTAGCCCACAGTCCATTGCTGTCGAGTTCATTCCGACTCATAGTGACCCTATAGGGTAGTAGGGTAAGGCTTCTAAGACGGAACTCTCCACATAAACAGACTTTACAGAAACACATCTCTCTCCCAAGCTGTGGCTGCTGGGCTTCAACTGCCAACCTTTTGGTTAGCAACTCAGCACTTAACCACTGCACTACCAGGGATACTTAAAATAATAATAATAAAAGGAATGGTAAGCGACTCTTTTAGGTTAAAATTAAAATTATTCTGAAATCAGTGGCTGTCTTTATTTTAGAAAACCTTTTAATTTTATGTGTAACACAATATAAGGGTGATGTGATGATTTTATTATATAAACTTCCTAGACCAGTTTACTTATTTGGGATGAACTGTATAAAATCTGATTTGCTCTTATTCACAGCTTCAATAGAATTGACATTCCACCCTATGAAAACTATGAAAAGCTGTATGAAAAGCTGCTAACAGCCATCGAAGAAACATGTGGGTTTGCTGTGGAATGATTCAAGTCAAGGATTAACCCAGGACTCTATTTATGCCCTTGACCGACAGCCTCTTTTCAGCAAAGCGTTAAGGAATGCTGAAATACAGACATACTTCCCTCCCTCCTTTTTTTTTTTTTAATTTTAGGACACTGTGAGGGGAAAGGACAATTTTGAAATTCCTTTTCAAGGAAAAAAGGGTCTTTATGCTTTGCCATGAGGCCACATTCAGCTGCTATTTAAAATTAATATCTTGAACCTAAAGAATGCTGACTTTTCCTACATTTCCAGAGTTAGGCAGTATTCGACACTTACAGACTACTACGATTTTTATCAAGGTAATCTATTCAGATCGCTTCACAGATTTCATGGCTCTGAAACAGCAAGACAGCTTCAGCAGTCGGTACAAGTCACATTTCAATTTGATTGAACACATGATTTTGAACAGCTCCTGTACTTTGCTCTTTGTAAAAAAATAAAATAAAATTATTTTGGATTATTCTAACTTTGTAAAAAAATTGGTTAAAAGAATCATTATCTTTTTAAAAAGTAAGCCACCTACATGTTTAATTAACATTTTCTTATAGCAAAGCATTCTATTTTGCATTCTGTGTTTCACTCTAGTACACGTGAATCTTTTTTGTACTTTTCAAACATGGGTTTCCTGGAATACAGATATATAAATTTGGTTGTCAGATTCCTAAAGCAACCATTTAGTCTAAGCTTAGTCATTTATTTGATAAAGTAAGATGTGTTCAGGAGCTCCCTGTTTAAAAGACTTTAAAAACCCCATAAAACCTAATGTTTTATCTGGAACCAGTATAATCAGTTATTTGGGATTTTTCATCATAAATGGAAATAATGAATTTTGATAGCTCCTGAGATCATCTGGATGGTTTGGAATTTTTATTCTCTTGCTGGATCAGCTTCTCTTTGCTACGTACTAGTTCTATAAACCAAAGCCGCCTATGACTAGTGCACCTAATTGATATCTTAATTATAGTGTAAGTTTCTATCAAGAAAATTGTCCTGATTCTTTGTTTTAGCTACTCATCACATTTAACAGCTCAAATGGAAAAATTTGCTAAAGCTTAATTAGCAGACTTAGAAAGTCCTGCTTTTACATAACAAAATGAAGTGGTGGTGGTATTGGAGGGGATGTGGGAATGTGATTATTAATGAATCAATGATTCAAACTCTAAAAGAGTTAATTTAGGAAGTTAGGGGTCCCGCGTCCTTGTGTGTGAAAGATCAGGATCTGATTGTGAAATGTCTAGATTTGACTTTGAGGGTGTGAGGCTTGTTGCACAATCCAGAAGGCAACCCAGAACCCTGGGGTGAGGGATTGGAAAGTCGGAAACCATAAGTGGATTTTTTTTCAGTTCAGCCATTACAGATCTGCACACCACACACACACACACACATTGATGTGGAATAATGGAAAGTAACTTTGATGCAGTAGAACTGTTTAAATTTTGCATTTTAAATTCTCAAGTGAATAGGCCCTTGGTGTCCTTGGTATTTTATGTGATGAGTGGTTTTCTGTCTGTGTTCCTTGGAACCAAGAGGGTTCCTCTGAGGTACCTCCAGAGTAATTGTTTCAGAGGAGAGGACAGGGAGAGGCCTCTGGGTCCCAGTGTGTACCTTCACTCCCCACCCTACCCCTGCTGTTTACCCACACATTTTGGGTAAATACATGTTGAAATTCCAAGTAAGCTTTCACTGAGATGGGGAGGGGGTGGTAAGCGAAGTAGAGATTTTGCTGCTTTAAGAAAGTTGGGACCTACCTATGTAGTTTCTAAATAAGTGGTTTTCACTTGGCTAAATTTGCTGCAAGTAAGCTAGTCTTCTTCTTGTATTTGGTGCCATTGCATTGGTTCCACCTCAGCAACCCTGTGCACAATTATAAGAAACCAACCTTTTCTTCCACGATGTGTTTTACCTACTGCATCCTTTGTCTTACTGAAGAAATCTTGAAACATCCGTAGTTAGTTGCTATACTGCCTGACCATCGGTAGTTTTCAGCTTTCACAATAGGTACCTTACTGGTTGGAGGCCCATGTTTCCTGTAATGCACTAGTGCAATTTGTGATTGTGCTTACTCGTCATCCTTCTGCAAAACGTATGTCCACCGTCATCATTTTATTAAGTCATGACTGACAGGATGCAGTACTGATGACATGCTACTATCAATTGTTAGAACATACTGGTTGGGAGAAAGATGAGGCTTTCTGCTCCCGCAAAGATTTAAAGCCACGGAAACTCTATACAGGGTCACAGTGAGTCAGAACTGAATCGTGGCACTTAACACCAATATGTGCTGTGGTGGTGAAGTGCCAGCCAGTGGACTCCGACTCATAGCAACCCTTTATAGAGTTTCCAAGGAGTGCTGGAGGGCTTGAACTGATGACCTTGCAGTTAACAGTTCAATGCTTATCCTATAGTGCCACACCAGGACTCCAACCTACAATATAGAGCTGGCAAATACCAATTCTTGAGTGCCTTTTAAACTTTTTAATAGTAAGGATTTCTTAAATAGAGCTTTAAAAAGAAGTAAATTACTCTTGATACCAGTCTAGGGTATCACTAATATGATTTATATAAAAAAAATGATTTCAACTTCAGAATTATGTTGCCTGATTACTTCCAAATAGGTGCTAAATCGTGTGTCACTGAACTTTGGACTTGCACCCGATGTTGAATGTGAATGTTTATTTGCATGTGTCCCTCCTCAGCTGGGGTTTTCATATCCATCCTCTAGTTAGTTCAGCTCTGTGGTGTCACTTCCCCATACGTTCCATCATGAATGTTTCCTTCTCAACGGTGACAGCTTTGTTGAGCTCAGATGAGTACAAGGTGAGTTTTGTTTCAGAGGGTCTTATATTTTGGTATAAAATGTTTTCTTTAGTGCTGTGTATAGTGTACATTTGGTTTTGCACAGAGTTTGTTGCCCTGAATGGGTCTTATTTTTACCAAGCCTTTTTTTTTTTTTTTTTTCCCCTTTTTTTGTATTTACAGTCCAGAGCACACCTTTCCCTATGTTTTAAAAAACAGTGTAATATGTTTTCTTTTACAACACTAAATCTGATTTGAACTTGTGGAGCATTGAGCAGACTGCATTGCTGTGAGGTCTTTACAGGGTGGTGGAGAGCAGCTCGTTCTGCCTCCGTCTCAGCTGCAGCCGACAGTCAACGGGTGCCATTGAACGTTCTTATGTCAGGACGATGATTGTACCAAATGCTGAGTTGTTTTGTTTCTAGATGTAATTAGCTCACCTCATGTAATATTCTCTCTTCTTTCAGACTGACTTTTAAAACAAAGTTTTATCATTTTCATTGTATTTGTATTTATTACAGAGTGTTTTAGCTGTGATATTCGTTGTATTTTCACTCAGCTGTTACATGAGCTTTATCAATAACATCTGTATAAACGGTTTTAAAGTAACTGTGTATTTGCCGAAGTTGAGCAATAAAATGAATGCTGTTTGCACTGTGACAGCAGCCACGTTTTGAAAGCACACCGACTCTGGAATGCATTGTTTGCACAGTGTCTGCCTGGCTCTCTCTAGGGTGACAGTGTGATCTCTAGGATGAGAAGTTTTTCAGGGAGAATGCAGTGCTACCTGTGCCGCGCTGCAGAGCTACGGGGAGCAAAGCAGGTGCTCATCTTCACCTGCCTTGGCAGCTTGATCAATTGGTAGTGGCTGTTTGGAGATGGTTTTCTGAGGCCAGCTCTGGCGTAGTGGGGAAGAGTGTTCCAGTCCTGTAACAATGTCGGCCAGGGCTCTGGGGAGCAGAGCGTAGGCACAGGGGCCTCCTGTTGGCCTTTCTACCTTGGTATAGCTCTATATGGTAGTGGGCAAGAGGTCAGACAACTACATGGTTGGAAAAGGAATAAATACTGTTCTTCCTTCATCTAGAATGTAGGTACACAACAGAATGAATCATGTCTGGGAAAACACAGTGGAAGTAGCAGTGGTGTATTACGTTCAAGGAGCAAACCTGGTGTCCATTTTGGTATTCTTATGAAAGGATATAAACATGGCTGTGTTTACTGGTTACTATCTGAAATTTATAAAAGTTACTGAACATTAAGGGTTTTAGTATTATAAAAGCCTACAAATTACCCCAAAGTTTTTACTCCTGCTGTGTGGTGACTTGAAAAACTTGTCCTTTGATTATACTGAACGCTAACCATGCTGACTGCATTTCTGTGTGCTTTATACCCCAGATGCTTAATAGTAAATAAGACCAAGAACCTAGTAACAGGATAAAACAAACCAAACCTTTTGCCATTCCAGTCGATTATAACTCACAAAACAGAGAAGAAATGCCCCTAAAGGGTTTTAAATCTTTATGGAAGCATACTGCCACTTCTGTCTCCTATGGAGCACTTGGCGGGTTCAAACCTCTGATCTTTAGGTTAGCAGAACGCTTAGCCACTACTCCAACAGGGCCTCCTAGTAAGTAATAGGATAAAGGAGTTAATATGCTAGAAAAAGATTTACATTCCTATGTTGACATTTTTAGCAAACTAGATAAACCACATTTCATTCATGGATCATATGCTATTAAAGTTTACTAAAAGGTATTTGCCCTACGTACGACTTTCCATTCATTCGGACTATTGTGTGCCTACTATGTGCCAAGCTACGTGCAAACTGATGGGGAGAAGCTTTGGATAGTTGTTAGAAATCTGAACTTCCAAATGAGTGCTTTTAACCTGTGTCTTAGTAGAGGCTAAAGCTTAGGCTTAGGTCTTCAGAACTTAGGATGTGTACACCAAAGTGGTCAGTTGTGATGAGAACACATAAGTGCCCCCACGTAAGCAAAGCAAGTCCCAAAATTCCAGCCCTGCCTCAACACGGGGCAGGTAGCTACTCAAGAGTTTCTCTTGGACAGCTCGCGTCTTCCTTGTGTGTGTTCATATACAGCTGCTGGCTTCATGGCCGCCTGTTCCTGGGGGGAACAGGTTACATTTCCAAGGTGACGAGCTTCCCTATTGTCAGCTGCATGCCTTTTATGGATATTCAGGCTGGGGTTTATCTAGGGCACTGGTTAGGATCTGAGCTGTAACACCTCACTTGTCTCCCTTATAGTTTAAGGGAAGGAAGGGGGGGGGAGGTGCTGTAGCAGCCCCTAGAGTGGGTGAGGGCCCCCTCTAAGAAGTTGCTCCCCCCACCTCAGTAGGTTCTGTGCAGTCTTACTTTTAGCTCCACAACTGGCAGTGAAGGTGGGGTGGGGTGGGAGCAATCAGAATCGACTTTCAGACCATTCTTCAAAAAGAAAAAGGTGGCGAACCAAGAAAACAATTTGATATAAGTAACTCAAGAACTAGAAAGGCAAAAAGCTTTAAGGCAGTTCATGTCTGAGGTTTTTAGGACAAGAAACTATTCACATCTCTCAAATCACTGGATGATGGTTGGAATAGCTTGAAATGCCTGAGAAAAAATGAGTTTTCAGCATAAGTGGATTTGGGAGCTAATAAATTGGAGATTTTTAAATACCCATAATTGCTATTTCCCCCCATTTTTGTTGACCTACAAAGTCCTCGGGAGCTGACTGATAAATCTAGGCTTATTAGCTGCTTTAACAACACAGATGGGAATCACAAAGGATGTTCCCATGATTCTCCTTTTAAGATTCCAGGCCACAAATTAAAAAGTAACTTTTAAGAAAACAATTTTTATTTAAAAATGATTTCATAAAAAGTACTGGAATGAATGCATAGATAAGGCAAAGGCACATGAAAATGATTCTTTCAGTTAGATTGTTTACTGGCTCAATTCTAGCTCTGCTCTGGTAAAGGCCCTCCAGAAAGGTCACATGGTGAAGACTGTTCTCACGGTAGGGGATGTTTACTGTACTGAAAGGAAGCCAGATGAAGACGAGATTTGAAGCGCTCAGCTTCCAGTTCACGGAAGAAAGCATCATCATCGTTCTGTGTTATCATGTTCTGCAGTTCATGAATTTCCTTCTCCATCTTAGATCTCAGCTCCCTCTTCACCTTCTGTAAAGTCTAAAAGAAAATTAACAGCATCCTGAAATTCACACTGATCCAAGCTCTCATAAATTTTTCTTCCTTTTCAACCTTCCTTGTTCATCAAGCTCCAATAATTTTAGTAATTTAGCAGCTCTTTTAACAGTGAACTGAACAGGTAAGGTAAAATCACATGACAAATCTTAGGTCATACGTGGATTTTAAATGAGTACTCACTCTACTCCCCAGAGAAAGGATAATTTCTGTTTACTCATAATGTAAAAGAAATGATTTATCTTAATTATTACCTGGGCCTGGAATTTCTCTCGGGTTTTGAGTTCTTGACTTTCTTGTGATATGGCCTCAGCTAGCAAAGAAAACTATTTACAGGGAAGAAAAAAACAACCCAGGATCTTATTAATGTTTGTAGTCCAAGTGTAATTAATCTATTTACTATTCATCAACTTATTTTAATGAAAGTAGGGTAATACTGATTCTGTACTATGGTCAAAGTGTTGAATTTCAATCTTGAAAGTGGGTGTATCTGCCTATAGAGTGGGGTGGGGCCTGTGTCTATTTACACGTGTGAAGCCAACGCGCCCACCTGGTCTCTGTAGTAGTTCTCCATTGAGTCCAGTTCGTTCTGGTGCTGCCTCTTTTGTTCATCTCGCTTTTCTTTAGCGTAGTTTCTCAGGTCCCGTAATCTTTGCTTCTGAATTTGTAAACCTTCTTCAAATAGTTTCTTAAATATCTGTATTTAGTGATAAAAATAAAGTCATTGAGGAATGTAATTATTCTGCCCAATGAGATCCACAGTGATTGTATTGCACAAATTTTCAGGGCAGCTTTCCTGGGACAGTTTTTAGGGACTTAGTGTTGTATGTGCAGCCACCGCCCGCTAGCAGTCCAACTCCACTCCCCTGAGCCTCAGGCAACAGTAACTTATTTCTATTGCTCTAAATTTGCCTATTCTGGCCATTCCATCTATGAAATCATTTAATATGTAGGCTTTTGTATGCTAAACTTTTACTTAGCATAATTATTTTCAAAAGTTATCCATTTTATAGTATATATCAATACTTCATTTCTATTTATGGAAGACTGGTGTGGCACTATAGGATAAACCTCAGGGTCAGCAGTTCAGACCCACCAACTGCTCCTTGGAAATGCTACACAGGGTTGCTGTGCAGTAGAGCCAACTTGACAGCACTACACAACCATATTCCATTGTCTGTGTACACAGTTTACTTATCCGTCAGGTAGTTGGCATTTATTGAGTAGTTTCTCCTCCTGCTATAACGAATAATGCTGTTGTGAATATTTAAAGGCAGGTTTTTGTGGGGCTATCTGAGAAATGGAGTTGCTACGTCATGCAGTAACTGTTTAACCTTTCTAAGAACTTCCAGAAACTGTTTTGCAAAACATCTGTACTGTCTTGTTGTCATGTGCCGTGGCGCTGGTTCCGACTCACAGCAACCCTGTACGGGGTTTCTGAGGCTGTAAATCTTACGGGAGCAGAAAGCCTCATCTGTCTCCCACGAAACAGCTGGTAGTTTTAAAACCTCTCACTTTAAGGTTCACAGCCCAATTCGTAACCACTACGTTATCAGAGCTCCTTAGTTTATGTACAGAGGTCAGAGGAAATCAAGACTCCATGGAGACAGAGTAGACCAGGATGCCCGGAGTAAGAAAAAGGAGCATTTATGACTTGTATTTGGATGACGGATCCAAATTGTGGCCAAACTCCCAAAATCCACTACTGGAGTCACTTCCGAGCCTGTCTAGGGTTTCTAAAACTGAATCTTTCCCAGAGCAGACAGGCACATCTTCCTTCCATTGTCCCTGTGGTAGTAGTCCAACAAGGAGATCCTAAAAGGTGACAGCAAAAATCTTCGTAACTTTTTAACAGACCCACACAGAAAAACCACACTTACCATTTCTTCCCGGGTCCTCATTCTCATCATTTTTGCACGCAATTGAACTCTATAATCATCATAATATCTGCGGGCACGAACAATTTGCTGCCGATTTTCTTTTATCTTTGATTGAGTCAACCTCTGTCTATTAATGCGATCCTTGAAGTCTTGCTAGGAAAGGGAAAAAGAAGTAAGGATAAGAAGACGACAGGTTTCAGGGTTCTCATCTGCCCCGCTCCCCATCATGATGCCTTCAAAGTAGTGAGCAGGCTCTGGAAGGCCAGTGGCCTCCTGCCCAGGAGGAGATGGGCAAAGACTGTCGATGGGCCTCCATCCGAGCAGCAGTCTGACAAGCCCCGCTGGCTACAGTGATCCTGAGCACTTCTGCTGGGTCCGTGGGGCTCGTCTCCCTGTTTCACCAGGGGACCTGCCTAAGACATGCCGGATGCCAGCTTAAAAGAAGGAGGAAAATGGCACTCTTCCAAAGCTTGAGCTTCCAGGAGTGTTTAATTAGGACAAAACTAAAGACTACACTAAGACATTGTTTTCCCCGTTTCCCCAGTGGGAAGAAGGCTTATAACCCTTGAAACTGCTCCTCATTATGAAGTTAGACAACACCTGCAAAGTAGTTGACGATGAAATAAGGTCATGTACACAGAGCCTTCAATTAGGGTTCAGTATCTGTTTTCTTCTCCCTCTACTGAAGTACCACAGGCCTTGAGATGGCTTCCCCTTACTTCTCTGGAATTGCTAGAATGTTCGTTCTCATGGTTTTTCTCTACTCCACACTTAACCAAAGGTTTTTAAAATTTCTTCCTTTGCTGTATCTGTCTCTATCCTCTCTCTGCACTATACTCAACACAGGATAATATGTTAAGTGTAATTCCTATCACACTGTCAGCTGCCGTGAAGTTGGCCTGCCTCATGGCCACCCTGTACACAATGGAATGAAATGCTCCCGGGGCCTGTGGCATCCCCATGATTTGCTATGGATTGGACTGCTGGGATCCAGTATTTTCACGGGCTGATTTTCAGAAGTAGATTGCTACACTTTTCTTCCTGGTCCATCTTAGTCTGGAAGCACCACTGAAAGCTGTTCAGCATCCCAGCCAGATGCCAACCCTCCCCTGACAGACAGATGGTGACAACTGAAGTACACTGGCCAGGACTCAGAGCTGAGTCTCCTACCTGCACAGATGCCGAGTCCCACTACGCCTCGAAATCACAATGGGGCTGCTGCGAGTACCATCAAGTCAGTTCTGACTCAGAGCCACCCTCGGAAGGGTTTCCAAGGAGCAGCTGACCTTGTGGCTAGCAGTCCCAGTGCTCATCCGAGAGTGCCTCATCAGGACTCCTAAAGTATAATGGAGGCTGGTAGACTATTCGGCTCTCTGTTGAGCCTGAGAAAGAGAGGGAGGGGGAGGGGTTGGGCAAGCAGGCCTCAGTTACAGCCACAGGCACCTTGAAAGGAGGCAGACCAGAATTAACAACTCAACCTTGCTCCTTACAGCTTACAGGGGGAGCACACTATTTCCCAGGGAACACCAGTTCTATTATGTTACTATAAAAACTAAATGGAATTATACAACAGCTAGCACCAATATCTGTAAGCCCTAGGTGCTTCCTCTTCACAATGTTAGAAGACTATGAGACTCCTTGTCAAGCTCGTACAAATAAGAAAGGTAACTTATATGTTCAAAAATCTATCAGCAACTTGCTCTTGACATACCAGTCTCTTGTTATGTTCATATTCTTTCTTGACAAGTGCAGTGAGGAGGTCATGCCTTCGTAAGGCTTCTTCTACCTATAAGGGCACAAAGAAAGTTGGGTTAATGATGCCTTGCACTAGATTCGTAAGGGTAAGTAAGCTCCTCTTTCTTGTTGACATTCCTATATATGTTAAAAATCGAGTAATTTACTTCATCCTGAAGTTTCTTCTTTGACCGATGTTCTCCACAGGCATCTTTTTTGAGCTGCTCAACCTGTGCGATTTGCTGTTTCCACATTTTGCTTAGTGTTTGGCCAGAAACACACAGAAATGGGAACTGCTCCAGCATCAGGGGCAGGAGACTGTGCTCGTTCACTTTCACTGCAAAGCAAAATGAGATGCTTTCAGTCTGAGAACCCTGCTGACAGCTTTTGACACAAGAGCTCTCACCCCACCTTCCTGGTAGATCAAAGCTTATCCAAGTGATGTGGTTCTGATCCTGAAAAGACAATTCTGAACATAACTATGATTGCTGCAATCCTTCCTGGATCCAAGTAAGCCAGTTACTACTACTAAGGGTGAAAATAAGCTCAGTAGTTCAGACTGATCACAAGCTAGTATGGTAAAGTCCATCCGAATTGCTTGGCTGCCTCTGCCTGTGGATGGACACACTGCGGTAAAACAGAAGACTCCTCAGCCCTCTTAGTAGGCATGTGCCTACAAGGATGTAATTGGGAAGCCAGCAGCCTGGCATTTCATGTGACCTGTTTCTCCCTGTAATGGGACTCACGGCACCAAGTGTCAAAGTAACAGGAATTGGACAAACCACCTGCTTGCCCTGGAACATCCTGTTCATTCTCCTGATGACCCAGAAACAGACGAGGCGGCCAGTAGGAGCCTCTCTCCACAACAGCAGCTGGTGGTCCTGGAATTCCCTTTGGTGCCAATAGATCGGGTTCCCTGAGGCATTCCCTATGACAGGCTTTTCTCTGTACAGGAATCCAGCCATATGGCAATGATCAAAGTGGGGACTTTCTCCAGCTAACGTGCATGGCGGCTTTCAGTACTGTGTCCCTGGAGTGCAGCACACACTTTCCAATGTTGCCAGTGTTCCATAAAGGACAATTTTGTAGTTCTTACTTGGAACTGCTTTATTTAGCTTTGGGAAGCCACCTCTTGGATGTGGAGTTGTGGTTTTTTTAGAGTATATCTTCCAAGGCTGACAAGGTTTGGGCGTTCCTTTATGAACAGCTTCTCGGTATATTTTTTCCTTAGAAGCAGATGCAAAAGAGAATAGAAGTGAGAGAGGTCTAATCACTTGTACACACCTTCTTAAATACTGACAAAAATCAGTGAACTAATCTCCAGCCAAACCACCCAGCTTTAAAATTCTAAAACTTCATTAATACTCAAGTTAAATTTTAAGCATCCTTTGGCTTCTAACACCCCTTGGAATTTGAAAAACTTGAGTCTTCAAGTTTCATGGTCACTGTAGCCCCACACACCAAGTAGCAGCCCTATTCCTGTTTGATGTACTTTTGTAGCTTTGTACTTGCTGTCCTAACCCCTTGTAGATTAAAGCAAAGCTTCTTTGTAAACAAACTGTATTTAATGCTGGTTTCTTCATTGATACTTTAGAATAAGGCTATTTCACCTGATTTCTGTAACCTTCCTTTTTGAAAAGCTAGGAAAACGTAAGCTTTGGGATTTCCCAGTGTCTTTTCTGAGACTCTCATAACTGTCAGCCTCGACTATTCTATAAGTCCTTGGTGAAGTGCTAAGCAATAGAATCCCTTAAAACTGATGGCAGTTATAGGTAAGAAGGGGAAATGCTAGTTTTTTTTTGCCACATTTGAGCAACTTGGCAACTGTAAGGATGCGTTAGGAGACAATATGACATCCTCAAATGAAATAACCCTGCTTTTTCCTAAGGCACTAGCGATGAAGACCGTACTGGTTCGTTTTCCTGTAGAAAAAGGTCATCTCACTACTTTCCACTGATCGGATCAAATGGCATTGATGACAGTGGAGACTTTTACCCACTGTTTCCTCCTCGTCATTCATCCCTAGAGGGCCGATATTCTCTTGAACTTTATTTCCTTGTAGTTCCCTTTCAAATGCTTCAGTTATTGCCTAGAGGAGAAAAGGCCATAGGATATTATGAAAAACATTTACAAATGACAATGAAAAGAATTCACCTATGTGAAGATAGTTCATTCATTTCTTAAAATTATTTTTTATAAAGTTCCTTTCAGGCCCAGAGTTAGTGACATAGCCACAGAGGACTAGAGTGGAGAGTGAAGCATCCAGTGGATAAGAAGTGAGGGCATATGCATAAGAACACCCACACTTGCAGATAATACCCACTTGACCTGGCTTCAATGACTGGGTGATCAGAACTCAACTAGAAGAAGAAAGGAGAGGAAACAAAAAAGAGTAATCTGATACAATTTGATGAACTTGACCTATACCTATGGATGCAGTAGCTCAAAAGGGAACAAATCTTTACAGCAAGGATCATTCCTACCCCCTTCATACACAGAGTAGACAAGGATGGGCAACTTGGACACTGGCTACCCAAAAGGGGCTGGGCTACAAAGGCAATAAGTGACTGGTTTACTAGCTTTTGAGAGGGAGCCTAGATCCAGAGGGCCTGGAAGAAGGTAGAATCTTCACTGAGTAGTATCCAATCTGTCTGGGTGGGGCTGATGAAAGAAGATGGGGATAGCACTCATGTGTTACAATAGTGAATAATTGCTATCAGGACTGACTGTGAGGGTTGGAAATGTAAAGGTAGACATTTTGTAGCAAAATGAGGGGAGTGATTGACCGCAGTCCAGGAGCAGAGATCCCTGGGACCATCCAGGGAGAAAAGTGGAACGCGGGACCCTACCCAGAGAAGCAGTGACGCAGATGGAGACAGAGACGATGATGTGGAGACAGGGAACAGCTGGGGACTGTAGACAGGCAGGCTTGCAGGGTATACCCTTTGGTTGGTTGATGATGCATGGAGGGGATTGTAATCATGGCAATGAAACTATATACGATAGGATGAATGTAAAGTTAATGTTCTCCCATGTAAGCCATCACATAATTCACCATAAAACATTTTAAAAAAAGTTCTTTTCAGGCTCTTTAATATGAATATATGTTATTTTAACAAAGATGTAATTGAGACATACACTGAAATTTGAAGTGCATAATTTTTTGTTCATTAATATTTTGATACTATTGGAAGCTGTCTAAGTTCCATTATTCACCATTGTAAAACATCGTATAGCAAATGAAGTGTTCTACATTCATGCTCCACAACAGAAAGTCTTCCTCAACAATCGTACCCTAACTGCCTCTTCTCATGACTCTCTGGGCATGTTTTCTCATCCAATCTATGACTCAATTGGCCTCACATTTCATTCACACCAGACTCCCTTCAACTTTAGAGCTCTCTCTGAAAATACAAACCCACACTGATCTTGTTTTCCTTGATTCACTGGACCAAGTTATTTGCTTATTGTATCATGAGTGCACACTTGATATCACAGGATCTGTTATCACCACGTGGCTCAGGAACCCTAGATGCACTTTCAGCCTTTACTTAATAGTATGTTCACTGCAGCATCTGGCTGGGGGCAGGGGTAACACTACTACCCAGCAACAGTCAGGAGTCGCCATGTACCTTTGCTTGGAATCGGCGGATATCTGTTTCTTTTCGTTTTCGCTGCTTTGCTCTCTCCGTATGGCACTGCTTGTGTTTGTTCACTGGTGAAGGGGAGAGCGAATGGGATCTGTAAGGTAGCTTTCTAGGTGTGGTAAGTCCTGCAACACAGAGAGACACAACATTAGGGCCTAACAGTCAGAAATGTAAGTTGGAAACCAAATAGTTGATTTTTAACAAACCCAAGAGACTTGACGAGTGAATGCGCTAAATGTGTTTCCCCCTCTAACTAATCTGTATTAGTTTCTATGTCCAGTGTTGTGAGGTGCTGTCAAGGTGGCTGATTCCCAGTGAGCACAGTGCTCTATGTAGAACAGAAGGAAACCTTGCCTGGTTCTGCATCAGCCTCACAATTACTGTTATGTTGAAACCCATTGTTACAGCCACTGTGTCAATCCATCTCACGGAGGGTCTTCTGTCTCTCTGCCCCTCTAATTTACTAAGCAGGAAGTCCTCCAGGTAGTCTTTCTCCTGATAACATGTCCAAAGCCCCTGAGATGAAGTCTCACAATCCTTGCTCCTCAAGAACATTCTTACTGCACTTCTTCCAAAACAAATTTGTTCTTCTTGCAGTCTGTGGTATATTCAATCTTCTTTGCCAACTCCATCGTTTAAACATCAGTTCTTCTCAAGTCTTCCTTATTCACTGTCCAGCTTTAACATGGTTATCAGGCTTGGGTCAGGCACACCTTAGCATTCAAACTGACATCTTTGGTCTTTAACACTTTAAAAGAGGTCTTTGGCAGCAGATTTGCCCAATGCAATAAATAAGTTACTGAATTGTTGCTTCCCATGAGTGTTGACTGGGGATCCAATTAAAATTAAATCCTCGATAACTTCAATTTTTTTCTCCGTTTATCACGTTTATTGGGCCCGTTATGAAGGGTTTTTGTTTTCTTTACATGAGTTGTAATCTATCTGAAGGCTGCAGTTTCTGATCTTCATCAGTAAGTGCTTTAAGTCCTCTTTGCTTTCAGTACGCAAGGTTGTACTGTCTGCATATTCCAAGTCGTTAATGAGCCTTTGTCCAATCCTGATGCTGTATTCTTCATAGGGCCCAGTTTCTCAGACTATTTGCTCAGCACACAGACTGAATAAGTATGGTGGAAGGATATAACCCTGACACACACTATTCCTGACTTTAAATGATGCAGCATCCTTGTATTCTGTTTGAGTGGCTGCCTCTTGATCTATGTACTGGTTCCACATGAGAACAATTAAGTTTTCTGGATTTCCCATTATTCTAAAATTTGTTAGCTCTACCAGATTAATAGCCTTTGCATAGTCAATAAAACACAAGTAAACATCTTTTTGGTAGTCTAAGCCTTCAGTCAGAATCCATCTGATGTCAGCAATGATATTCTTCATTCCACTAACTTGTATTTGCTTGTATATTTGTCACTACAATTAAACAGGACAAATGTGTGCTATCTTAAAGCAGTCAGTCCCTGTATTCAACTTCGAGTTGAACATGGAACAGAATAGGCAAGACACAAAGGCCTGGTGAGTATGCTTGGTGATGGGCGAGCAAAGGGAAACCACCTGTGCCAGTATGTCCAGGTCCAAAGGAGACAGGATATAGAGCTATACACACATTTACTAAGACTTACAAAGCCACATGTAGTTTAGGTGAGAACAAACAAGATGGCGGATCGGGTGGAAGTGTAGTAAAGGAGCTCCGCCAGCAACAACACAGAATACCTGACCAAGCAGGCTCAGGGGATGGTCCCAGAACTCTGAACCACATATAAAGGAATATTTAGAAGGTTAGAAGGCTTACAGCTGGGGGAATTTGTGGCAGAAGCAAGAAATACATTGTTTTCTAATTCAAGACGCTCAGATGCTCCAGGAGCCGCCATCTTGGGTGAGACCAAGTCGGGGAAGGATTGGAGCAGCCACAGACACCTGACAGAACTTCTGAGATAAAGGTGTGGACATTCTTCTCTTTTGGTAGCTGTTCATTGGTCCCTTGCTGTCTGTGCACCTCCATTCGGGTGGCTATAGGGGTTCCTGAGCTAGTGGGCACCCCAGTCCCACCCTCAGAGGGTTCTACTATGCATGCACACAGATCTCCTTGAAATTTTAAGAGACAGTTTCCAATTAAAACCAAATGGCCACAGCAGGCCCTGAACTGTTTACAACTAGAAAAGAGGCCTTAACGGGGATTGTGGAGTGGGACAAGCAGACAAAAAAGGAAATAGGCTGAAAATTAAATCCTAAGTTACGTCAAAACGACTAACAGTAGCATCTTGAAATTTCTCAAGAAGAAGAGTAAAAAGGGAAGCCCATTTCTTTATCACATCTACCCGGAGGCAATCAGAAAGCATAAAAAATACCAAAAGACATACCCATCTGAGTATTAAGGCCACAGATAACCCCTGAAGATGCCCAAAAAACAGAAGCAGATGACCATATTTGTACATGTCCAGAAACGAGATAAAGTGACTGAGGCAA